AGCTTTATTCCATCCTGAAAAGAGAAGAAAAAGAGACTGTTTCTTTCGGAGAAGGACTTCACCTTTTTCAGCACGACCAAAAGCAATTATAATTATTTTATAAAACCAGAAAAAGTATAAATGCCCTTTTCTATTTTGTCATGAACGTCTTGGCTTGATCTTTTAAGGACGATAGAAGAATAAATTACAACTGCAACACTACAACATTGATTTTAAAACAAAACAATGGTTTTATTTTTTGTCAAAGAAAACTGACACCATGCAAAGGTGAACAACAGGAAATGTTAATCCATAAATAACAGATATGGTGATTGAATTAAATGAGTACCACTTGACTTGTACCAAGGATCTACAAAGAAATACCTAAATATTTAAATCAGAATGAATTGAGGGACAATCCAAAGAAATCTTGTATTTTGTAAGGGACATAAACAGGAAGTACAGTGCAAAGAGAACTCCAGGGATCAACAAAGCATCAAAGAGCCAGATAGTAAAGGTCTTACTCATAGATATTAGGAGAATTAAGAAGAAACAATGAAAATAATAAAAGCTACTACATTAGCAGGTAATAATGATGTAAGTGCAATTACTGGAACATATCTAAGAGAATGTGATGATGACAGATACAGCATTAGTAGATACAAAGCATTCCGAAGAGACAGGAAAGATAGAAGAGGTGTACTTCTGACGCACTGTAGGTCAAAACAGCATGCAATCAAAGGAAGCTAACCTAGATGAACCAAGGCTCTTAGAATTTATATAGCTCAAACATATTAAAGAATGCTCAAAAATGACATAATGTTAATAGCATTCTATTGGCCATCAACAATCTACAATAATGATTTTTAAAAAAAAGAAATCAGGGAATTTTTCACAAACATGAGACAATTTAAAAGTTAATTTGCCTCACTTTTATTTTTAGCAGCTGTTGGTTAACCAAAGAAACTAAACAAAATATTTATTGTTGTATTCCAGTGAATTGACTATTTTTATGCTTGGTTTTCTGTTCTACAGATGTACTTCTCTAACACATACTGTAAATAAAAGCCTCTTTTTCTTAAAAGTTGAATGTACAATAACAGTTTACATTTTCCATGTATATTGATAGTGTAAAGACTTCCTTCTAAAGGCCCAAATATTAACAATAGATACAGATTTTTTTTATATACATCAAAAATGTAATGTCTCATTAATGCATCATGTTCTCTTTGTCACTGTGATGAATGCAGCTCTGCACTTACTGTTTTTCAATCATAGCTGCTCAATTCCAGATTCAAAGGTGAACAGCATCACTCTCACCACAGGAGTGATCGACCCTATTCAAGTCCCAAGAAGGTGGTATCAATTTCTGTGACAGGCACATTAACAAATGTGTTCTGTTTTATTCTCCTCCTCCTGGGTTTTACTTGTTTGCAGCTGAAGCCTCAACCTTTGAATGGCATCGATCATAGTGAGGGTATCAAAGTTGTAAAGTACTCCCTGGAATCCGATCACATACACTCACAAGCACCTCCAGCTCCAGAGCAACACAGAGTCGCATCACAGAAAGAATTGTAATCTGCTATGCCAAAAGGCCAGGCCTTCTGTTTCAGGAAAATTCAACAGTATCCAGGTTCCAAGGAAATGATGTGACTTTCTTTTACAAGCCAAATGAACCCAGTTAAACTTTCCACCTCTAAATTCCTCCTGCTCCTCAGCAGCTAATAGGCATCAGTGTCTATGATCCAAGTCAAACCAATGTGATGAGTGCTGCTCTGCCCCCACCAGGATTCAATCACAACGGCTCACCATCAAGTCTGTTTTCAAAGCCACAGAGCACCACCCCCCCCCAGACCATGGAGAATTCCACTACGCCACAGGCGAGACCTGCCGCTTGGGGAGAATTCAACGCTCTCCAGATTTCGTCACCTTCTGTAGTAGGACTAGTGCCAAATGAGCCCTGACACACCACTAAACAGCACCGCTTTGTTTTCTTTTCTCAAGTAAAACCAGCAGACTCACCTAGCTGAAACAGCAAAGCATAGCCAGGCAACTGAGAAAAAGTGTCTCTTTATACACCATTTGTTTTTGTTTTTTTTAGTTTTGATCATTCTCCCGAATATACTGTACCAGATTCAACAAAGTTCCTGCTTGCTTGGCTAATGGTTAGCTGAATGTAAGCATGAATATTGTCTCGGTTGACTGGATGTAAGATTTTATCACTGTAGTACTCGTGACAGGTGATTTAGCAGTCTGTGAAGAGAAAGAGAAGAAAAGGAAGGCTCCCAGGTTTATACGTTTACAAAAATCCTGTAAAAAACAAAGGGAATAAGATCTACAATTATAAGCGGAGAATCAATCCTGAGAAAGCATCTTATAATGTTTCATTATTACGTTTTAATGAATAGTTAATAGAAAACATAACTAACAAAATTTAACTTACTAACCAAATATGCTAAACTAAACAACAAACAGGGCAAATACATTCTTAAGTTACAAAGTTGCTATAGTTTTCTGTGGTGTTTCTCCGCAGGTATTATTCTCAGGCTTTTTTATTATTCAGTCCACTACACTGTGGTCTTGGTGTTAAAAATTCTGGTCAAGGAATGCCACTTGCTGGTCCACCAGCTCAATTTGCAACAGCAACTTGGTTTACCTTGAATTTCACATCTAGTACAGGGCCAGTTGTGCTTTGCTTCTGAGATCTGAAGAGGTCAGTCCAGAAAGTGGTAATTCTGCTGCCTAAAAACAAAAATAACCAGGGGAGAAGAGGGCATTAAGCCATTCACAATTTCACTATTCAATTGTTCAGATGTACTGACTGTAACCAGAATTTGCCTAGGAAATTTGACTGCTATCCAAATGCATGTGGATGTTATTCTCCTTTATAAATACAGATACAGTATATACAGTAGATAGTTTCAGTCATACTGCTGAAAAATGCAGTATTTAATGTGAAAAAAACAAAAGCAGCTAAAAAGGAAGTCTTTGAAACACCCAGTGTTGGACACAGTTACTTTTAAGAAGTAATCTTTGCAAATCATCCAAGTATTTTTTAATAAATAAAAAGTTGTTTTTAATAAGATATTTTAAGATAAAGTTCTTCTTTACATAGTACAGTAACTATGTACTGTACATAACATTGATAACTGCAACTGATGACTTTTTAAAACAAAATTCTTGTTCATTTTAAAACATTTTTAAACGTTACTTTCTCCAGAAAGAGGTATTTTCCCTTAGGCATGACTTCAGGCATACCATAACTGAAACATGGACTTGGACTTGACAGAACCTGGCAATACTTTTGTGAAAACAGTAAATGTGGCACCTGTCTGTTCCCCATGAGTCTGGCATTTCTTTATGGAGTATAAATCTTTGCTTTCTGTTGTTTTTTGGGTCCACTTCACTATGCTTGGGAATTAAAGTGTTTAGTTCCTGCTAAAGGAATATATTTATTTATACAATGAATTTGGTTTAAGAATTAAAGGCTAGCAATGATTTTTTTCTGTTCTTTTAAATGTTAATTGTATTTTAAACAGAACATTTTGACATTAAACTCACTTTTGAATGTGGAATTGAGTGAGAAGTCTTCCATTGTTTCAGCAAAGAATTTTCATTAGAAAAATAAGTCATGCTATGGAATGACTTCTTTGGATTTCTGACCTCATAACCATTAAGTGTGAATTGGATCATCTTCACAGGGAGGAGTAGAAATTCCAGGCTGAACTAAATCGCACACGGATTGCTCGCATGTTCAGCAGGAAGCCAGGAGGATTACCCTGGGAGGATATCTGGATAATATTGAAGAGCTTAAATACTGAATAGGTCTGCTAAGGGAAATATTTTTGTTTCACTCCTGGTATAGATCTCTATTTTATATTTATGTTCCAAAGTTCAAATAAACCAAAGTTTAAAATTTAAAATAAATATAGTAATGAATAATGCAAATATTTGATATCATATTTATTTGCTATTGATAATTAAACCAAGCAGTCATACATGATAAATTTCCCTTTTTTTCCCCCAAACATTGAAAAGATTATTTTTGTTCTCAGAATCAGTTAAATTAATTTGGAAAAATTAAGACTATGTCATGAAAACTATACACTGTGGTTAAGGGCTGATACCTTGAAGCCACTGTGTTGTTTCTCATTACAAGACCATCAATTACTGCAAACCAAGGTGTTTCAACACATGGACTTTGTTCCAATTGAATTGCCAGCCATCTAGCAGTTTAGCTATAAATGTCAGACCAGAATAAATAAATACTACTCTTAAATACTCTGAAATATTACTAGACAAAGTCATTTTGATCACATTAGAGGAATCCATAAATAAAAAATGCATTGCATACATTTCCATACCATGGAAAAATCTGTATAACTTTGCAAAAACTGCATGTTTGAAATGCCAAAGAAAATGTAATTGCTTTTACTGTCATTCATTCAGACACTATTCAGTATACCAGAGAAAAACTGAGGTTAAGAACATTACTTTCTCTAGAGAAGCTATGTAATATGTTGTACCTCCAGACATTTTTGAACATTTAAAAATCCTTTGCAATCATAACAATAATTAAACAATAGCACCAAAATATGATAAAAAGAAGAAAATCTTAGATATGAGTGAGCCACATGAGCTTTAACTTTGTTTTTAATAGAAATCTGGGGTGAGTTTCCCGAAAACGATTAATCTTAGAGACTAACGAGCAACTTTACGATGTACGTACGTAACGTACGACCTACTTTTTTGTGCGTTTCCCAAAACCCCTCTTAATCGGTCATTTAACGCGCGAGTATAAAGTACTTCTTTGTTAACTCCTCCCCTGAAGTCGCTTAGCAAAAAGCATCACGTCGATTGAAGAACAATCGATTGACAATACTTTCATTATATGGTGTCGGGTTTGGTCCTTCAGTGGGATGAAATAAAGTCGTGAAAAGGAATATGAAGCAAACATGACTTCATAATTTAACAACCATTTAAGCGAAAGTGTATAGACAGGTACAAAATGGGACCCTAATTGTTTTTAAGAGAAAAGAAAATAAATGACTGACATGCCGTAAAAGAAAACCAAGTTTAACCGTGTGGACAGTGTATGCATCCTGCATGACGTCTTTGATTTAAAGCAATATTTTTGGCACGCTGCCATCGTCAAATGAGAAAAAAACTGTTGTTATTTATAGTTATTGGGTGTATTGGAACTCAATGGAAAAATTAACTACTAAGCTTGGCATATGTCACTCAACAAATATAGGACCTATAATCAAATTAGGTCTAAGCTTTACCGTCAACAATCACGACAGAACATAAAACGCCATTCAAACTTTAAATATTGTATCGACCGTGGGTTTCGATACAGAATGGAGCAGGCGTGGGACTCAGGGAAAGGGGGTTGAACAACACATTTATTAACTCGAATCGGGAAAGGTACACATACAGGGACGGGGGTTACAGCGCTGCACCTACACTAACACACACACATGAAGGGAAGAGACTGTATCTCAGCCTCCGTGCCACTATATACAGTCCGGTAGTCCCCAGGTGCTGTTCTCAGCCCGCCCTGCGTGGCGCTAAATTGTAATACATGTTACATGTTTCACGTTCTTTATGTAATTTAAATACAATTAAAACCCCCACCCCAAAAGTACTAAAAGAGGGAGTATTATTAAAACATTTGACTTATGAATATGAAATTTACCCAAGATTACTAATAAATGCATTACTGTATAAATAAATGTTCTTTTTTTGAATTTCCTCTTACATAGTACAACAAAATATCAAAATCCTTAATATAAAATCTATATTTCCAGAGAATTCCCATGACGTGAATTGAATGTGCTCTGTCTGTTGCTAAGGTTGGCGCAAGAGGTAGCCAGTTTAAGAAGCACTTAGTGATTAACGAGTGGGTTGGGGAGCATATAGATTACGAAGGATTACGATAAGTTTTGGGAAACACTCGTAAATTAACGATCGATCTTAAGAGCGAGTTTACGATGTTCTTAGCGCTACGATGGTTTCGGGAAACTCACCCCCGTTTCATTAGTACCTGTGTTTTATCATTACAAAATAATGTAATAAAAACACAGGGTACACATACTGTACTGTATGTTCAGTTCATACACAAAATAATGTTCATGATATTTACTACAAAATCATTGGAAACTTTTCATTTCATGATTGTTTATGATTTAAGTAAATTTACTAGGGTTACTTTACTAAAATTACTACTTACTAGTAGTATTGATTAAAATTATTTACTGAATATGTTTTGCAAATTTCAATTTGGTTGAAATCAAAAACATTTGGATACCAACCACCACAGTACACAATATATTCAGAAGATGAAACTACATTTACTGTATGCTAGGAAACCAATGTAGAACATTCACATTTCTAGTTAATGACTTATTTTTTCATATAGTGGCTTTACTTTTTTGGTCAGTCTCAGAGAGACACTTAACGATGAGTATTTCGCAACTGAAGAGTATTACAGGGGTGGTCTACAACTGTTTACCATTATTAGGCAAAGCTTTTTTTCTTTTCCTTGTTATTCAGCAGCACCAGAAATAATGATCTTTTCTGAAGTAACACCAGAAATGCTCATAAATGTTCTGCACAGACCTAGCCCCTAGATTCAAATAAAGAGGGAACTGTGTTTTATGGAGTGTAACAGCTGTAATAGTCTTACATAATGGAATGTTTTTATATACAAACTAAAAATGGCTTATGAATTTATCCTATGACAGGTTCAAGGGAATACAGACTGTGTTTTCTATAAAAAGGATAAAAATGTACACAATTAGTCCTCACATAAAGAATAAACATTTCATAAATAAAAATTATTTCTGCAGTCTGTATTTCCTGAAAGATTTTTTAGTATTTCTGAGGAGAAAGCAGTTATTTTAAAATATTCTTCAATATATTGAAAATGCTTGGCTTTTACTTACTGTACTGTATGTGTGACTTATGCACTTAAATTATGAAATATTGAAAGAAACTTATCAAGAAGATCTTATAGTTCTGGATGTATATTCATATCTATTCAGTGTTATTCTACTTGTTGATGTTAATTTCTTACACTTACTAATACTATTTTTAATCTACTACTTGGTGCAGTGAAACTATAAAATGTAATGCTCAATATAATAATTAAAACTCATTTTTATAAGACAACCACTGTATTATCCCTTATCTCTTATGTGATAAGTAAAAAAACAATGCATAGAATACTGTTTCAATACTTATGTACTGATTCCTCTTCTATACTATTGAGAAATATCTTTTGGGAGTGCACATGCTTTGCAGATACAGTACAGTACAGTATGAAGTTCATTGGTGAGTCCCTTTAATCTCCAGGTACTTTATGCTGAGCATATTGTTGTTGTTTTTCTAATAGTTTGTGAATGTCACCATATTTGTTAGTGATCAAAGTCTGAATGTATTTCTGATGTTTAAATGTGTCATATATGATCGTTTTTTATTATGTCAAAATGAACAAATAAGAGGTAAATGTTTGAAATGTTTGAATCCAATTATCACTGCCTATACCAAAACTAACCTGCTACAGACCTTATAGGAAATATAATTGTAATTTTGTATCTTCGGCATGAGAAATTAAAGGACACATTGCAAGGCTACTAAGCATAAAATACATGGATTGCATTTTAGTACATCACTTTTATACTAAATATTTTACTGCAGTAAAATTTTGCTTAATTTATAATAACTTTAACCAGTGGCCATTTTCTTTTTAAGGTCAGAGCACCAAACCCGTTAACAGAACCAGTAATAAACCAGTAGCTTTAGAATAAAAAATGTAGAAACATAAGAAACCCAAACTATTACATTTTGATTACAGTAAAAAGTAATATAGCATACTAGAATAAAAATACATTACATTTACATAAATTCCATAAATATGTACTAGTTTTAAAAGGAAATAAACACCTGTAAGTAAACATCAGCAATAAAGATGTGATTTTACACTGAAGTGTAGGAAGTTTATTGGTTATTTTTTTTGTAATTTAGGTTCTAAATAAAAATGGTTCAACCGCTACTGCTTTTAGACACAATACCACATATGTTTTTTATAAGGGGTAAGATTTACACATAATTCATTAATATGTATTGATTAATTCCCAATATGGCCGTTATTGCAAAAACTATAAGTATCAAATAAACTCTGCTTGATCATTCGTGGGGATTTTTTATACACAAACTGTACTTGTTGCTTAGAACAAGGAGTACACAGTTTCTTCAAACATCTGTGCTCTTGAGCATTCTAGATGAGTGATCATGCAATTCATACTTGATCTCCACCATTTAAGTAAAATCACATCAAGAAAACAATACTGTTATCTTGTTATACCAAAGGGACCTCCTGCTTTATTCAACTTGACTTCCTTTTTTAATATTTTTATACTGCTATGTAATTAAATACACAGATCAATTTATTGTTAAAAAAATCTTTCCTGTCTCTCCCCCTGTGCATTCTAAGATTAACAATCACTAGATGGCAGCAGGCTAAAAGACACTGGGTATTTTAGACAGATTATCTCAAACTTTTAATTAAATATCAACAAAAAATGTCATTCTCCTGGCAATGATTTTGAAACAAACTCCAGTAAGGGGACTGTCCTTTATTACACTGTAATAGCCTAGAACAAAATCTGTTTTGCAAAACAGAATTTATTCAAATAGCTTTTGCTATAAACTCAAATATAAATGCTCAAAATGTCCAAAACTGTCATGTTAACATGTTAGGACCACATTTAAAAAAATGTTTAATATATTGAGATAGCTATTCTTTCCTTTTTCCTTTAAAAATTATTTAATCTTGATTGTACTTAAAAAAATTGAAAGGCTAAATTTTAAATATTGTATATAGGATGCAGGAAATTCCCATACTATATTAGGTGCCATTGACTTAAGATCACAAACACAGTTACAGTGCACAGGAAGTTGCACTTTTACTACCTTGTGCATAAAATTCCCCTGGCTGAACTCAGCTCTGTGTGCGTTTGTCTTCATTGTAGATGGACATGTGATGCATTCAGCATTGCTAGGCCCTTACCTTCATCCCGTTCATCCAAGATCAGAGTTCCTTCTTCGGTTCCACCAAAAAGAAGTGGCACCCACCATATGGATCAGGTCTCCTGATGTCAGCAACTGTAGTAGATTAGTTTCTTTCCCTTATCTCTTTCTCTTCCTAACCTCACCCACTGTTCTCTTTCCTTCCCCCTTCTCAGTCCGTTTCTGGTAGAATATTTAACTCACTCCACTCCACAGCCCTCGCTTATATCTATTGTTTTGTCTCCTCTATCCTGTTCCTCTTTTTGCTCTCTTCTGCAGGAGCCCAATTTGCTAACTCTGCCTGCACATGGTGTCAGTCTGCATCCTATCCAGACTTCATCATTCATTCCCACACTGTCCCTAATGCAAGCCTAGGCTGCTACAGCAATGAGATCTCCCCCCCCTTAAGCCCCCTTTTCTGGATGGTGTCCAGCTGATCAGTGTCAGCCCTCAACTCTTCCCCTTCCCAAACCCTCCAGCCACATATTGTATGTAGCAGATGTTCCTTTTCTTACTGTACTGTATATAGGTTCAGTTTAAAATATTCATATCCATTATGTCTAGTAAATTTCAGCAAGCAGCACTTCTCTTTCATTTCTGTGTCAGATGTCTCTTCTAGGCAACCACATTATTTTCTGACACGCACCACAGGGTTCCAGTTCCAAGGTGACCAGTGCAGTTAGCTGCTAACCGGTAGTTCTCTTCCTGCTTCCATGTCAAACTATTCCTCCTGGTGCTGCAGTATCTTCTGCTGTCCACCAGAGTTCTAATCCCACACTTGTCAGTCCTGATACTGCTAGCCACTAGTGCTGCCACCTGTTCACTGAATCCTAGTTTGTCACACGCAGCATACATGATTTGTATACACTGCATATCCAGAGTTACTCATTCATGTTTGCACGATAGGTATTTTTAATTCATTACCGGCACATTGTGCTCTTTTCAGGTAAACTTCAGTCAAACCAAGTCTCTTTAATATCAGTGTTCAAAGTCATTCAGGGGATTTTTTTAGGGGGTGTCAGGGCACTGATCCAACCAGCACTGCCATTTTTTCAGCAAGGTGAGTTACAGACAAAATACTAAACATTCTATCCCTTTTTAAATTTGTTGGCTTGTTATTATTGTCATTATAAGAATTTGAGCAAACAACTGAACTTATTTCTAATATGTCTTAACTGTCCTAGGTACCATCATACACATTATTAAGTAACATAACAGTATGTATTTAGTTCACTAGCTTTTGTTAGTTTGCTAAGAAGAAAAATAGCAAATTATATACAATATATTTTTCAGTTTAATTGCATCACTAGATATGTGTTGAATTCAAACTTAAGATATATACAGTATACCCAAAGTATATATATATACATTATACTTGATATATATATACAGTATACTGTACGCTGGAAGAAGGCTCCACAGCCGAAACATTGTGATTTCTTTCTTCTCCTTTCAGCATGGAAAAAACCTATTACTTGTTCCTATATACAGTACATTTACTTTGGAATTTTTGTTTTCACGTTATTTTATGTTAGCTTGTACTGTATATAAGTCAATTATATGGTTTATATGGGTTTTCTTCATGCGCTCCTCCCACCTCACAGACTCCCAGATACTGTTTAGGCTAATTGGTGTTTCTAAATAAGCTCTGTATGTGCATGTTTGTGTAACCTGTTATAGATCGCCAGTAGGATCAGAGTGTAGTCTCTTCTTGCGCCCTGTTCAACCATGATAGGATCCAGTTAGGTGAGATTCTTACCAGCAAAAAGTACCTTTGTGACAATGGATGCACTGTATGACCGGTATTTTGGTAAAAGAAAACCACAATGTCGTTCATTTTATAACACATAATGGGCCAGTACAATTAAACAATTTTGAAGATCTTAAATTCACCATGGTGCTGCGGGAATAAATAAAAAAACAGCTATTTCATTGCACAAAAAAGGGCTGAAGGCCAACAGTTCTAAACATACTGAAATTAGGAAGAAAAGTATATGGCAAATTAAGCATGCTGCTTTAATAAACCAGAAACACTGCATAGTTATAGCTAGATTATTATTAACATTCTGCCAATTTGTGAAAACGTTTCCTAGTGGTATGTCTTTGTTACTGTACAAAAATTACATTTACAGCAAAACTTAGGGCTGCCATAAAATGGCAATTGGGAATCCCTAGGAGATGAAACTGTGACTGTAAATTGTTGCTAATTGAACAGGCGTCGGACTGAAATTATACCTCTTAAAAAAGTGCAACACTGGGACCAGTTAAAAGCCATGAAAACCAGGGGTTCAGTGTGACCAAATGAAAGGAATGTTTACCTAGGCAGGAAATATACTTTGTGTTATCTCAAATCATGCCAAATGGATACAATACAGTAGAAACCCAACTCTTTCAATTATTTTATTTATAATTCAAGTACTCCCAGACGTCTTGCAACATTAAAAAAGAATTAGAATACTAATGCTTACTAAGACCTTTTGGTGCATTTATAGCCTTCCTGGGCAGTGCTAGTTCACAACACCTGCTTCATTTAAAGGACCTTGAGAAGTTTTTTGTTCATGTCTACACGTCTTTGTTCATGAGCCTCTTACTTTGCCTACAATTGCTCGTTGTTCACTTTACAAAACATTCTAAAAAAATATCTTCAGTACTAGAAAATATTCTGTCATATGCATTTAGTTTTTGTAGTAACTTGTCTTATGTTTAAATATATATTTTCAGGAAATAAAAAATAATTTGACTAATAATTCAAACAGAATTTTAGCAGAGTGCACCATATTTTAGTGAGATGGCCAATTAAGAGATGTTGTATTTCAACTAAGGAAACATCTTGGAGAAGGTTGTAAATTTAACTCTAAATTAGATTATTAGGAGCATGTTACTATTGTACTGAACAACCTTAGAGACTGTAGCACACAGCAGTATTTTACACGTAAATGCATTATTTCACAATTTATATTATATTTCACTTAAAACATTATTTAGCATCATAAAATGGGATTTGAATTTGTATTTGAATTGTCCCTTTTGTATATATTTCTAAAATAATGCATTCCTTAATGTTCTAACCCCAGCTTCTGAGTCTAACAGCTTGCAACTGGAAATAGTACAATATGGTAACACTATCATTCCAAAGGCTGTGTCCTGTAGTGAAAATATTTATATAAATTTGTGTGTTTGTCATGGTGCTTGTTTTATGGAAGCTTTTTTTTCTTTCTGTGTTTTTTCTTCTATAAAAAGAAGGGTATTTTCTAGTTCCTTCTGGTTTCTTCATAGTTATTCAACTTAGTTTAATGTGGTCTAAAGCTTTCTCATTCCTGTTGTTCTGCAAAAGGCCTGGTCCAATTCAAATAACGTAACCTCATGTATTTAAATTCAGACCTTTGTTAATTCAAACTTTGGCTCCAGCTCTTTGTCTTCATTGCTGCCTGCCTTTATGTCTTTGCAGACAAAAATAGTTAACCTTTTCTTTAGAGACTAGCAGTTCTTGATGTGTGTTTTGTAAATATACTAAATGAATACACACTTTAAAACTGAAAACTACATTGACCACCTATTTAAGCCACCATTTGTTTCTGCTTTATTTGCCCACATTATGTTTTGCACTGCTGAGAATTCTAGGTTTAGTCGTAATTCACAACAGGAATTGTAATTGTAATCTCAGAAAATTGCTTGGCTGTGCTCAGGCTGTTACAAAAATACTATTCATAAACAAATAATTAAGATTGTTGTGATGACAGAATTTTGAATGTATTCATTTTTTGGATTCTTTATGTTAACAAATTATTGTGACATTATTTTATCTATACAGTACATCAAAGAGTTTATTTTGAAACACTTCCTATGTATGCATTAAATACAGTATATGCAGTTAAAACCAAGTTTACTACTTGTTTAAATATGACATATGAAAGTTATTTTTATCACATTAATTGAACAACTTTTAGCTGTGATACTGTATATGTGGGATATATAGTATGTGTGTGTTTGTTTATATACAGTAGCATGCTCTTCTAAAAGAATGTTCTTCTTAGCTAACGATCATGATTGTTTTAATTCTTGTAAATTTGCATTTGGAAACAACAGCTTTTTTAGAATACCTACAAAAGAAATGTAGATAAAATATCAAGCCCTCTTTCAACTTCTTTATTTTTTTTTTACAGATTCTCAATAAGACTAACAGTAACACTATCAAGGTTTAACACTGACATTTATAAACTAATATAAATGTCATCAAATATTAGCAATATCAACATTTCACCTGAAGTAAAAAAACAAAGTAAATTGAAAGGAAGGAATTGTATAAATTTATTTTTTCTATTTCTCAAAGAAAAATACAAAGATGTGCATGTCCAGTATGTCTAATAAAAGGACCTTACATGTTATAAAAATGTTTGTAATGGATCACCGTTTAGACATTGTTTTCCAAGTTTTGCTGGTTTGACTGAAACAAATGTATACTGTAGTTTATTTAGTGTCACTAATTTAAAAAAAGTGATAATTAAACTAATAATTCATTTTGTGTAAGGTGTGAATTCTTCATCATCTATAGAAGAAGCTTTGTGCTTTTAGACATGCTCATCCATTATAATATTGGCATTTGGGGATTACTGTCATATAACAAGAGTCCATTTTAACAAGGCTTTCACAGCTTGGTGCCGCTCAAATTATCCTCCAGCTCCTTACAGAAAACAGAGTATGAACAGTGTCTTTCACAAAATCAACATAAGAATCCCACTATGTTGCAAATGGACTCCCAAATAAAGCCAGGTCTTTCACAGACAGAGCTGTTTCAGTTTTGCAGTTTAACCCTAAATACTCCACAAACGTTTTACCTTTGGGAAACGAAGGTTTGCACCTCTGCTCATCTATTATACTCATCTGCTCATCTATAATATCCCCTATTCCGAAGGTGAGTTAGATTATCTTTTGTGCCCTGTTATCCTTCTCATCCACAATTCATTGAATAAAACAGATTGTTTACTTTAGAGAAAAAAAACAAGTTTGAAGAAAAGCTGTTTTATTGTCCTGTCATTTCTAATTAGATTTCTGGCATTTTTTAAAAATTATTTGCATTTAAATATTCATCATATCAAATTTAAGATAAACACATAAATGTTTAATGCACTCAGATATTGGGGAAAACATTTACATTTTCAGAAAATCTGAAATTAACATAAATGTATCATGATGCTTACAACAGACTTGCTTACAGTATGTATCGTGTTTTAAGACTACCACAAAATAGTAAGCAATGAAAAGACTAATTACAAACAATGCGATCTCAGTCTAGATTCAGTTCCCTTTCAACCACAAGGATAAAAAATAACTGAGGACTGCAGTGCTGAAAAAAACAATCTTGATGTGGCCCACTTTGCTAACAGACCTGAGAATAAAGAGAGGAAGATAGAGAAAAAAGACAGAGGTGTTGTGTATTGTTTGTAATGGAGAAGCAAAATCATGGATAAAGGGAAAAGCCTGCTGACCACTTCACTATAATCACAGCCTCTTTGGGTCTGGGCAAGACTGTGCTGATGCTGAGGTCATTCACAGAGGAAATTGTGCCTATTAATCCTGACCCACCACAGAGCAAAAGGAATGAACAAACACAGAGTCTTGAAAGCAATAGTAAC